CACTGTTAACCTCTACATCATTCCAGGCCAACTCATATACTGGACTTTACATCCATAACCACTTCAACAACACACCTCTGAACATCTTGTATGATGATGTTACAAGGGCAAGACATACCTCTTTGCAAACACCTGGTGTCAATACCAGTGACCAGTACTGTTGAACATCATGTGCCATAAATTTAGTAATGAGTGAGTGAGTATGGTTTTACACTGCTTTTAGCAATATTCCAGCAATATCATGGCGGGGGACACCAGAAATAGGCTCCACACATTGTACCCATGTGGGGAATCGAACCCGGGTCCTCAGTGTGATATGTGGACACTTTAGCCATTAGGCTACCCCACAGCCCCCATAACTTTAGTAAGTGTAGAAATCAGTGTAGGAATAACTGTAAGCTTAGCTGTGACAAGTCAGTACAGATGACCACCTGGTGTCATGTAACCTTACTCTGACCAGAGAGTTGGTGTCACTGTAACAGTACACTGGCCATGCAGTAGGTGTGGGGGACACCTGGTGTTATATCTGTAACCTTACAGTGACCAGTGAATGCAGGAGACTATATGGTATAACCACCTTATTCTGACCAAAGAGATACATAACTTTACAGGGACTAGTGAGACGATCACCTGGTATCATGTAACCTTACTCTGACCAGAGAGTTGGTGTCATGTAACCTTACTCTGACCAGTGAGTGCAGGAGACTATATGGTATAACCACCTTTACCAAAGACAGTATCATGTAACCTTACTGGCCATGCAGTAGGTGTGGGGGACACCTGGTGTTATATCTGTAACCTTACAGTGACCAGTGAATGCAGGAGACTATATGGTATAACCACCTTATTCTGACCAAAGAGATACGTAACTTTACAGGGACTATAGTACTGTTGGAAATAGAAAAAAACTGTATTTTCTCATTTATCACTACAATTCATGTAGTTGATATGTGCAAGTGTGAAATATCTGTTAAACTAAGTTTGGACTAACTGCAGTCTTAGTGGTAGGGACACAGGAAATGTAGAAAAAGGACTTTACTGAGGGGAGATTAGTGCAGAAATCAGCAATGCAGGATTTTTCTAAGTCCAAAACGATTTATTTGGAACAGACCATGGCTTTATGCAAATTAGTGTGCGACGATATTGTATTACAAAGGATACTTTTTAAATGCCCAATTTGGAATTGGACGTAGGTTCATTATCAATGATAGCTGGCGTAAAAAATAATAACTTTCATGCTGAAACCATTAAGGATGTAGCTACCATGGAGTCTCACTGACACTATAAAAAGAAACAGATATGAGGGTTCGTCTCAAAAGCAAAACCTGGACGGGTGTCGCAGACGATCGTTGGGGTCGGGCTGGGGGATAGAGATATTAGCTAAGATGAGATAATCCTTTACGGCAATTATACTGGGGAAGTACACGGCATCTCATAGCAATTTACAAATATGCAGTCCTGTCGATATTCGTGATCGGGTGGTCATGCCATCTATATATTGAGACATTTATTGAGACATTTTATACGATGCGTTTCTATGGTTATCAGGTATCATACTCTTTTACATATCTCAACATAAACTTTATGAAAGAAAGACACGTAAGATGTCAATCAATAGATGAGGCGTAGTCAACACACATGAAAAAGCACAAAATATCTTTGAGATGACCCCTTGTGCCTGTAGGCAGCACATGCACTACTGTCCGTTGTCATACCTGGCTGAGCGACCTAATTGCCATCTATAGTCTGATCTATTGTTTTCAGCAGCTAATCGTACTTTTTCTAAGTTTTGCCCGATTTTACGAGTAAACATGCTTTTCTGGATATCCTATTACGCATCCCACTGAATGCCATGTTAGGCTGAAGTGGGTTATTTTGACATATGCCATTTGCATTTGTGTAAATTTTAGGGGTACAGAGTAACAGCCTAAAAACAGTTTTTTTCTATTTCCGACAGTACTATAGTGAAACGATCACCTGGTATCATGTAACCTTACTCTGACCAGGAGTTGGTGTCACTGTAACAGTACACTGGCCATGCAGTAGGTGTGGGGGACACCTGGTGTTATGTGTGTAACCTTACAGTGACCAGTGAATGCAGGAGACTATATGGTATAACCACCTTATTCTGACCAAAGAGAAAGATAACTTTACAGGGACTAGTGAGACGAAGGGACGATCACCTGGTATCAAGTAACCTTACTCTGACCAGAGAGTTGGTGTCATGTAACCTTATTCTGACCAAAGAGATACATAACTGTATAGGGACTAGTGAGACGATCACCTGGTATCATGTAACCTTACTCTGACCAAAGAGATAGATAACTTTACAGGGACTAGTGAGACACTCACCTGGTATCAAGTAACCTTACTCTGACCAGAGAGTTGGTGTCATGTAACCTTATTCTTACCAAAGAGATACATAACTGTATAGGGACTAGTGAGACGATCACCTTATTCTGACCAAAGAGATATAACTTTACAGGGACTAGTGAGACGATCACCTGGTATCATGTAACCTTACTCTGACCAGAGAGTTGGTGTCATGTAACCTATTCTCTGATAACTGTGAGTAGGGACAGGGAGACGATCACCTGGTATCATGTAACCTTACTCTGACCAAAGAGATAGATAACTTTACAGGGACTAGTGAGACGATCACCTGGTATCATGACCATGAGGTCACTTTAAGATGACAGTGACATCATTATGGAATACACTCAGGGTATTCACTTGTTAATCTTATAAATCAGACACTACCTGAGAAACTGAAGCAAGCTGAATGGACATCATGACAAGGTTTCTTCTTACAGTTATCAGACTAAAGATGTTAATTACAAACATTACTGAAGGCAAGAATTTTATGGATGTCAACTTCTTTATTGTGATGGACCTGACGTTTTGGAGTATATTCCTACTCTTTGATCAGGTGAATGAAGGAGTAAGAATATATCCGAAACTTCGTGTCCATCACAATAGAGAAGTTAACATCCATAAAATTCTTGCTTTTATGTGTACCACTTCTAAATGCCATTCAAAGACTCAACATTTCAGAACATCTACACATTTGAAATATTATATATGCTTGTGACTGAATTTTCCTAACAATATTTATCCTAAGAAAATGTGCTTGATTGCTCTTCCACAAATGTACCAGTCTAATTTCAAATAAGTAGGGATAGAACAAAAAAACCAGTCTGATTTCAGATTCAAAGATGAATAAACTGAATAAAATATATAAAAAATAACACTTTTTTAGCTAGCTGTGGTATGATGTTGTATGGTAGATAGTATATCTCATGGTAGTGCAGTAGATCATTACCCAGAAGAATCATTACTCTTGGTGGAAAGCCATTTGCTACAAGTAAAACCCATCCTTTCCCAAACATGACAGGCCCAACCATTACAATGAGGAGTGGAGTACACACTGCAGCAGGAATGAACCTGTTTGACTACTTGGCTGTGACAGAATGAAAGTTATTGGAATGGTAGAAAAACACTTGCAATCATCACATTTATCATCCGCAATCCACAGATCATTTTGCCCTTGCCAAATGTTTTTCAACCCGACAGCTTAGGGTTTGATGAAATAGGTTTTGTAACAATCGATATAGACGGAGTGAATAAGCACCACAACTGGGACTCAAGAGACCACTTTTTGAAACAATATTTTCAAATAATACTGTTCGTGCATGTCATTCTCAATCTTACAACCAGTCAACACTGACTTTACAACTTAGTTTTAAGCCTGATTTTCGAAACATGTTCTTGTCAACGGGGTAATATTTCTATCTAAAAAGAGATGTGTTTTTGTTGCATGCTTCACTCTATGCCATGCATTGCTGCATCATGTGTCAAGATGAGGAACAAAATAGCAGATCAAAGTTAGGTTCATTCGCATATGACTGTCACATAACTATGGTAAAAAAGTTCATAAAAAGTTTGAAAGCTCATAAAAGTTTGAACAGCTCTCGAGGATTTACTCCTCTCATTGCAAATATGTTAACTTTTTTGCTCCTGTTAACCTAATCTATTGACACTTTCCAAAGTTCGATCAAAATGGAAATGTTGCTGGAGTTGGTGGAAATAAAAACAAGAGTAAAAGCACTCACGCTAGGAATTCCCCATCACCATTAGATAACTATCAGGTGATTGACTTGTCCCCATGTAAATTATCCATTTCTTCTGCCATGATTAATTCATGAACCGATAACACTATCATTAGCAGCACCAAAGCAGAAAACTAGCAAATTCCGACACTGAAAGCAGTGGCAGTGTTCCTTGTACCTGATTTAAGCTTATATCTTCATGCTTGTGTGAAGCAAGTGAAATCGGGGGCACAACTCTGTGCCAAATTGGATTCATTTCTCTTAATTTTCTTTGCAGTATACACGCACGATGCTGGGAATCTATTAGCCCTACAGGTTTTCCTGAACTGATGCTGAACGAGACACACATTGACACAATTGGACTCACACATGTGACAACTTAAGGAGAGCTACATCCCAATCAGATTCCCTGAAAATCAATATTCTTCAGAAAAATTCCCCGTTGTATGATTGCCATTGGAAAAGATAGAGACCACTGCTTCCATTCTTCATTCAGGAACACAGTGAGAGACACTGAAGAAAGTTTAAACCTGGACGAGGGTTCCGTGCTCCACGGGGAAGAAGAAGGTGCCAACCAATCAGTGAGCCTGTCCAACTACTTGTGTGTCATAATTCTGTGATGGACTACTAACTTGGAGACTTTTATCAGGATTGGATTCCATAACTACTTATTCAGGTTTGTTCACATAAATCAAACATCTCAGCAATAACATTTAATAATAACTGAATTCCTGACATACAATTGGAATATATACTTGTATTCATTTGTTGGAGAGTCTGAAAAAGTCATCTGTTGACAGATTTGAAGTAACTTTATGCTCTACTTGTGATTTTATCAAACTACAACAATATTTCAAATTGACAGTCATATGTGAAGAAAGACACATCCATATGACAATGAAGATGCCCTATTTCGTTTTGTACCCGAAGAATGACTTTCCATTCCTGATTCCACCACTCAAGCATTGCCTGACCACCCATGCATTGTGTACAAATGGCCTCCAGCCAGCCAACACCACGCTGTACTGGATGGAGATTAGTGACTATTTCTGCTTCCTGGCGCTGCCGGTCATCATCTCCTTCGCCTTCGTCACTGAGATCATCAGCATCATCGTCTTGTCCAAGCAGATCAGGATGTCCCTTGACACGTACCTGCTGGGCCTGTCTATAGCAACAATACTCCTCATCTGTTGTACAGTGGTTTTAGTGCTGCAACACTACATAGGCTACCATCCAGTGCTTACCTACATTCAGGGCTACGCCATCAGCTGCCGGGACTGGTTTTGGTACACTACGATATGGCTTATTGTGATGATGAGCTTCGAGCGGGCTCTCACTGTGTCTGCAACCCGCTCAAACACCCTGTGTACTTCTGCTCAAGCAGGTGTTGTGGTTGTGATGGTGTTTTGTGTAGGTCTTGTAAGCGCCTTACCAAGATTCTGGGAATATGCAGCTACAGGTGTTTTTGATTCCTCACGTAATGTCACAGTTCTCATTTCAGAAAAGACGGAGTCAACAACAACGCCAGAGTACAACACAATGTATTTCTGGTATGTTAAAACTATAACGCTATTTCTCCCTTACTTCATGATGCTTTCAATATCAGTAACCCTCAGTTGTAGGACCAGACGTTCCACCATGACGCGGCGCTACATGTCCGTCAAACACTCCAGCGGACTAACCCTAAACCGTAAGATTAAGGAGGAAATAGCTTTGTCGAAACTTTTAATTCTGATAATCAGTGTGTATGTGATATTCACCACACCATTCTGTCTGTTGGACCTGCTAGCGTATGCCCTACCGGGCTGGATTAGTTCAGACAGTCGTATGTTTGCCAGTCTGTACAACCTGTTTAGTGTCAGCTTCTTCCTCCACTATGCCCTCCATCTCATTCTTTACTTCTGCTACAACAAACAGTTCCGTCTGACGCTCCTGGCCCTATGCTGCTGCTGTTGTTGATGATGCAGCAGCAAGGGTCAGACAGTCAAGCGAGGGCATGAACAGACCATCCCATACACCTCAATACCAAGACACAAACAAGTTAGAGAAGTAAAAACAAAGAATTTGCTTCAAGGCAAACTTCTCATTGTCCTGAACTTATTAATTACATTAGACAAGCACTCGCTTTTCTAACATGCCAAATTAATAGCTTGGCATGGTTACATGAAAGATATTTATTTGACCAATTTGTTTGGAAGCGATAAAAGTGAAATAAAATTGAAAATTTGACACATTAAAATCTGAAGAACTTAAACTTTGTGACTTTCTTTTCGTTTAACTGAGAAATGTGTCATTTTCTAATATAACCATTGCCATAAATACTTTCCTTTGTGTGACTTTGTTTGAAAGAGCCTAGTACAGCCTAGCTAGCAGAGTATGAATGGGGTCGATACACAAAAACAAAGCAATTGTTTTGATACTGCAATGGTTTAGATTTGTGTAGTTTAGAGATTTAGATTAATGCTTTTAAATTGTTTTGTTACAGCTGCCCTGATCACAAGCAATGGCTACAAATGCTGACACATACTCCAAAATGTTTTTGATATATTTTTTAAATTCTTCATGCCTTTTGTTTTAGACAATCATATTTTTTCCAAAGATTGTTACGACAAGTTTCACTTCATGTCTTTATAATGTACAATAAACAATTGAACTATATACAACCTGTGTCTCCTAACTGATTACTCTCAAGCTTAGCTCTCTCTTGCATCCTGAGTTCTTGAGAACCTTGAGTTCACTCAATGTAATTCAATTAAACCTAACATTTGGGAAGCTAGTGCCAAAGATCAATCTCTGATGTTCTGTAGTATTACCTCCAGTGATGGAAACTTGAACCATCCATCAGTTTAAAATTAGTTACATTTGAACAGATTTAGTCAAATGTTTTTAAAATCAAGCTTTTCCCAAGCAGTTATCAAATGTTTTCGTACTGTCTGGCTTTAAATTCAAATAAGTTTCCAATTTTCCTATCTCAACATAACAAGGACAGCAATCATCAAAACCGTTTATCATGTCTGTGGCTTGTCTGTATGTTGACACACATCATGTCAATTGCCTCTAAAATCATGAGCTTCCAGTACAGGAAGGGTGAACACAAATAACAGCAATTATTTATAAATAAATGACCAAGATAAGAAAAAATATGTCACAGCACACAGACACAGAGTGACGGTGACTTGGTCAGAGCAACATTGAGTGAGACTGACATTGCCTGTTGCTGCCTCCCTCAAGGGACCATTACCAGAGCGTAGCAGGGCAGCTGACAGTACTTAATCAACATCAGTGCTGTCACACACACTGTTCATGTCACTTGGCTTCACCGGCTGCTGTGTGGAGCTTTCACTGCCTCACTAACACACTGATGTATTACTCCATACACATCACCTAGTTGGGGGAAGTAGAGATTGACAAAACTGCAGGAACTTTCATGAAAAAGTTTGAAATTCAATTGAGAGATGGAAAAGAACTAAAGCTCCAATGCTAAAAGACTTGGATGACGCATCTAATGCATTCGTTGGTGTTTTTCTTCCTGTAAATGATTGCATCTAAAAGTGGTCGGCAATGAGCAAAACTTGAGCGAGTAAAAGTAGACCTAGGGTAGACAGTCAAAAGTGCAACAAAGGAAATCTTCCTGTGATGCCAGAAAAAGATGCTGATATTTTTTGTTTCCAACATTTAACGATTTTAATACAATTAAATTGCAGCAGAGATCAAACAGTAAGATGATGGTAATGCCAAGAGGTTATGTGATAGTATCAATTCTAAGCCTATCAGTGGAATAAACCACGCACAAATAACATAGATACTGAGCTGTTTCCTGTGATATATCCTACCATATTAAATATCAGGCTGAAACTTCAAACGATTGTACAGCTTCTTAAAATAAGCATGAAAGTCTACAGATCCTCACCACAACCCTAGTTTAATAGTTATTTAATTTTTCAAGCACTTCACTATCTTACTATGTGGTTTTGGACTGAAATTCAATATAGGTGGTTAAAAATAAGATTACTGGTATAAAAAATTTCAACTTCCAGCTTAGAACTGCTAATAATGAATCTAACACAAACAAGTTGTAACATGGCAATATACCAAAAGATAAAAAACTATCTTGATGGAAATAAAGATTTTTACATGTTCTCTTCATCATTCTTCTGAAAATCCTGTGTTTTTTTATTTCACCTACATGCAAAAAAATCACCCAAATTATTTAGGTTTAAGGTTATTTTAGTCTTTTTCAGATTTTATTTGATTTTTTTCTCTTGTTCTCCCAACCTATAAAGGAATATGTCTAAATTCAAATATTACAGAAACATGTGAAACCCTTTAATTTCAAACATTGCTGAGAGTTATAACTTTATAATAACAGCAGGTTTCCTTATGTGATGTTCAGTTGCCATAATACAGTATCATACTGTTTGTAAAGTACAACTCGAGGATACATGATGACCTTAGTTAAACTGCCTTTGTATGGACAAGATTCCATTAATACACAAATCGTGGAACTATAGACTTTCTTACATGAGTGGAATTGGCCCCTGATGAATAAACGATGTAAGGTCCAATACCATGACTCTCTGTACCTCCATCAGTCTTTCACTTGTGACACTGACAAGCTGTAATTCTTCCTCTTTGACATTCTCTATATAATTCCCTACATTCACAAGCTCATAACTGGGTTTTGAGAACAATTCAAATAGAACCAATGAGCTCTGAGCAATTTGGTATCTGTCCCAAGTGAATGATGATATAAGTCCCAGGCCAAAATTAAATTGTCGAGAAACGTCCAACTTTCATTCAAAAGTGACAGATAACCCATAAGTGTGTAATTTGAGAAGGTTAGTCCATATATTTCTCATAATCATATCAAAAAACAAAATTGTAAAAACAAATGAAATGTCTAGGCTAAAGAAATGACGCTGAACGAAGGTTGACAAGATTTTGCATTTGTCAGACCACATTTACTGAATAATCACTATTAAGAATCACTAAAATGATCACATGAAAAGTTATTACACTCTATGGTTAAAGTTACAGCATTTGAATGACAACAAATAGTTTCTCCTCATGTTTCAAAGGACATGATGGACTTCAGTTTCACGTTTGTACAACAATATTGCTTATTATCAACCAGAGTAAGACACTACCGGCATTGTATCCATGGGAGACGTCTGCTCTCCCAGGTGACCACGGGTCTGCTGTCTGGCGACAGACTACAGTCCTTGATACTGCTGCGTAAGAACTAGGCTGCTATACACCAAGATATCACACAGAAAGGTCAATACAGTTAATATAGGTTGGATATGTTCCAGGAATGGTTAGTGTCATCCAGCAGAATGCCAGTAAAATTATCCCACTTCATCTAGCTCCCAGCAACATATGTAATGCTGATGTAAATCCTGTAACTGACCAATTTATCAGAGTTCTTACAGCACATTGTTACAAACTTTTGTAATAAACAACATCCCCAACATGATGAATATTCTCTCCCTTACAAGTTGGAATCAAGTAACGTGATGTTATCAATCATATTTTGTGTAAGCCTCATCAATATTCATTGCACTTACAGTATATTGATTCGACTTATAGAGCATCCTCCCCTCCAGAAGCTGAGATAGGAGTGAGAGAGTACGCACTATGGTCTACCTACTCAGTGGTAATACACAGGCTCAGACTTCCTGGCTTACAGGCACCCAACAAGGAGAAGGAAATTAACAAACAAAACTTGAACCCTGAACAGATCAATATTTTTGGTTATGATAAGAACATTTGCTTAACTTAATCCTCAGAACTTGGATAATCACATGCAAATATAGAAATCAGAAATTAGAAATCAAAACACATGTTGAAATTGATACTGAAATAATATACTTGTTATGCTGTAAAAACATAAAACTAAATCTTAGCCTAGATTTCCTACAGTTCTGACTATATATATTCATAACTTTGAAGTCATACAGATTGGGGATAGAATTAAAATAGTATTAGCAAAGTCAAGTCTCAGTTTCGCCAGCTCTGGATCAGTGCTGAAAATACATGAACGCTGTAAAGATCATCTGCTGATAAATATCAGTTTACACTTTTTCATGATCATCATAATGACATTTATTACTTCTGGGGCATGACAGCCAAATGTCATGATGTCCACACCCTGTAATAGCCCAATCACAATATCACACCTCCTATTGGCCAGTTTGTATGATGAATAAGACACATGGATTGATCCCAAACACTCTGTTCTGGAAATATCCCCTACACAGTTATAATATCATAATGCTTCCGCCAGAAATAGGTCAAGCTGTCTGGATCTAGCTCAATGGACCAACTGAAGTTAACATGTCTTCCTTTACTGCACAGCAATCCACTAGGAACTGAACAGTGACATCAGCAGCAGAGATTCATGTACATCTCCAGCCAACATCAGGACAATTGGGTTTGTTCCAACACACCATCCTCGTTTTGACTACCCTAAGTCTGTGGTAAGCAGCAGAGTAAAGGCTAAGAACACTTGTGTAAAACAGGCCTTAGGTTGCCATGAATCACAAAGCTGTAGTTATTGAAAGCATTACGATGTAATATCTACCACATTATCATCTTACATGTGTGCAGTGAATGATGGATCCTTGTGGGACGTCATGATGATCAAGTAAACTTGGAGAAGGAATCATAGATAAAGAGTCTATGAAACTCTTCAAGTCCAGTCAAAGGTAACTGCCAACTGGTGGTGTTCTATAGACACTATGTATGGGAGTGTTTCAACTTCATAATATAAGTCAGTTAATGAAGCTGAGAATCACAGGCAAAAAGTAAAATCTTCAAAGATACTGCATCAAACAAAAAGAGGTTTAATTCCCATTTTACAACATATTGCATATTGCTTTCGGCGAAGACAGATGAGAGCAGTGTCACAAGGATCCTTGAACTCTGACATCGCTGCAATCTCATCTTTCAGTGGAAAGAAAATTGATGGAAGTTCATAAATATTCATAAAGTTTTGACTGACCTCAAAAATAACTGGCACACATTCATATACATTTTGTTTTCTTATGGACAAATATTGTTGAAGGACATTTTGAGTAAAATTAATAAACATGATTACAATTGCCTCCCTAGTATAGTTCAATTTGGAACAAGTGTAAATAGAGAAATAAAATGCACACTAACAACATAACTTTTTGACAATTAGATTAATTACTTTGTTTCAACGTAATAAAGACCAGCAGACAGACTTTAAACATACTGTTCCAGTGTTGGGCCAGACTCCCTTGTGTCTGTAACAGTCGGAGAGTGGTCAGGGCTGTATACATTACAATCAAGGACATCTCTCAGTCTAGCGTTCAGCACGATATTGTCGACATGGCATTGATTACCAAATGTACATAGGCCAGCTCTGTTTGGAGTGAAGATGTCTGTTTATTTACAGAGTATTATGCCATCCCCACAGAAGTCACTCCTAAGTGAAAGCTTCATCGATACTATCAATAACACCGTTCTTTGTCCTACGGAGATGAAACATGTGGCCTAATCTTTTAATCACACAATAATGTATTTTCAGTTACTTAAACAAATATCTGATATCTGCTTGTTGAAATGTTTCCATATTGTATTTATTTTTATTTGTATCACTTGAATAATTAAA